CTCTCTTCCTTTTCTCTCTTCCCTTTCCTTCTCTTCCTTTTTCTCTCTTCCTTTTTCTCTCTTCCCTTTTTCTCTCTTCCTTTTTCTCTCTTCCTTTTTCTCTCTTCCTTTTTCTCTCTTCCTTTTCTCTCTTCCTTTTCTCTCTTCCTTTTTCTCTCTTCCTTTTTCTCTCTTCCTTTTTCTCTCTTCCCTTTCCTTCTCTTCCTTTTTCTCTCTTCCTTTTTCTCTCTTCCTTTTTCTCTCTTCCCTTTTTCTCTCTTCCTTTTTCTCTCTTTTTCTCTCTTCCTTTTTCTCTCTTCCTTTTTCTCTCTTCCTTTTTCTCTCTTCCTTTTTCTCTCTTCCCTTTCCTTCTCTTCCTTTTTCTCTCTTCCTTTTTCTCTCTTCCTTTTTCTCTCTTCCTTTCCTTCTCTTCCTTTTTCTCTCTTCCCTTTCCTCCTTTTCCTTTTTCTCTCTTCCTTTTCTCTCTTCCTTTTTCTCTCTTCCTTTCCTTCTCTTCCTTTTTCTCTCTTCCTTTTTCTCTCTTCCTTTTTCTCTCTTCCTTTTTCTCTCTTCCTTTTTCTCTCTTCCCTTTCCTTCTCTTCCTTTTTCTCTCTTCCCTTTCCTCCTCTTCCTTTTTCTCTCTTCCTTTTTCTCTCTTCCTTTTTCTCTCTTCCCTTTCCTTCTCTTCCTTTTTCTCTCTTCCCTTTCCTTCTCTTCCTTTTTCTCTCTTCCCTTTCCTCCTCTTCCTTTTTCTCTCTTCCTTTTTCTCTCTTCCTTTTTCTCTCTTCCCTTTCCTTCTCTTCCTTTTTCTCTCTTCCCTTTCCTCCTCTTCCTTTTTCTCTCTTCCTTTTTCTCTCTTCCCTTTTTCTCTCTTCCTTTTTCTCTCTTCCTTTTTCTCTCTTCCCTTTCCTTCTCTTCCTTTTTCTCTCTTCCTTTTTCTCTCTTCCTTTTTCTCTCTTCCCTTTCCTTCTCTTCCTTTTTCTCTCTTCCTTTTTCTCTCTTCCCTTTTTCTCTCTTCCTTTTTCTCTCTTCCCTTTCCTTCTCTTCCTTTTTCTCTCTTCCTTTTTCTCTCTTCCCTTTCCTTCTCTTCCCTTTCCTTCTCTTCCTTTTTCTCTCTTCCTTTTTCTCTCTTCCCTTTCCTTCTCTTCCTTTTTCTCTCTTCCTTTTTCTCTCTTCCTTTTTCTCTCTTCCCTTTCCTTCTCTTCCTTTTTCTCTCTTCCCTTTTTCTCTCTTCCTTTTTCTCTCTTCCTTTCTTCTCTTCCCTTTCCTTCTCTTCCTTTTTCTCTCTTCCTTTTTCTCTCTTCCTTTTTCTCTCTTCCTTTTTCTCTCTTCCCTTTCCTTCTCTTCCTTTTTCTCTCTTCCTTTTTCTCTCTTCCCTTTCCTTCTCTTCCTTTTCTCTCTTCCTTTTCTCTCTTCCTTTTTCTCTCTTCCCTTTCCTCTTTTCCTTTTTCTCTCTTCCTTTTTCTCTCTTCCTTTTCTCTCTTCCCTTTCCTTCTCTTCCTTTTTCTCTCTTCCCTTTTCTCTCTCCCTTTTCCTGTCTTCCTTTTCTCTCTTCCCTTTTCTCTCTTCCTTTTTCTCTCTTCCTTTTTCTCTCTTCCTTTTTCTCTCTTCCCTTTCTTCTCTTCCTTTTCTCTCTTCCTTTTCTTCTCTTCCTTTTTCTCTCTTCCTTTTCTCTCTTCCTTTTTCTCTCTTCCCTTTTCCTTCTCTTCCTTTTTCTCTCTTCCTTTTCCTTCTCTTCCTTTTTCTCTCTTCCCTTTCCTTCTCTTCCTTTTTCTCTCTTCCTTTTCTCTCTTCCTTTTTCTCTCTTCCCTTTCCTTCTCTTCCTTTTTCTCTCTTCCTTTCTTCTCTTCCTTTTTCTCTCTTCCTTTTTCTCTCTTCCTTTTTCTCTCTTCCTTTTTCTCTCTTCCCTTTCCTTCTCTTCCTTTTTCTCTCTTCCTTTTTCTCTCTTCCTTTTCCTTCTCTTCCTTTTTCTCTCTTCCTTTTTCTTCTCTTCCTTTTTCTCTCTTCCTTTTTCTCTCTTCCTTTTCTTCTCTTCCTTTTCTCTCTTCCTTTTTCTCTCTTCCTTTTTCTCTCTTCCTTTTTCTCTCTTCCTTTTTCTCTCTTCCTTTTTCTCTCTTCCTTTTTCTCTCTTCCTTTTTCTCTCTTCCTTTTTCTCTCTTCCTTTTTCTCTCTTCCTTTTTCTCTCTTCCTTTTTCTCTCTTCCTTTTTCTCTCTTCCTTTTTCTTCTCTTCCTTTTTCTCTCTTCCTTTTTCTCTCTTCCTTTTTCTCTCTTCCTTTTTCTCTCTTCCTTTTTCTCTCTTCCTTTTTCTCTCTTCCCTTTCCTTCTCTTCCTTTTTCTTCTCTTCCTTTTTCTCTCTTCCTTTTTCTCTCTTCCTTTTTCTCTCTTCCTTTTTCTCTCTTCCTTTTTCTCTCTTCCCTTTCCTTCTCTTCCTTTTTCTTCTCTTCCTTTTTCTCTCTTCCTTTTTCTTCTCTTCCTTTTTCTCTCTTCCTTTTTCTCTCTTCCTTTTTCTCTCTTCCTTTT